TTGGTGGATACGCATATTGTCATGCACGGGAATACTTTTGTTTGGACATGGCGCCACAGACCATAACCCATCAGACTCAACCGGGCTTATATTTCCAAATGCTTTAGCGACGTTTGTCTCCGACTTACGTGTTCCGGCCATCACACCTTCGCCTGTGTACATCTCTGACCGTCGTCCGATTCTCTCAGAACTGAAAATTCCATTTTCTTTGTGGGAGAAACCATGGCGTCTTGATGTTCGCGTCCTCCAGGACGCGTGATCTCAGTCAAATTCGTCCCGTGCTACACGGGTGTCACTCACAGCGTCTGATTAATTTGATTGGGAGGCGCTTAAAACGCAGTGGCGCCTGCACTGCTCAGTTGAAGGGCGTTCACTTTGTCGTCACGTTTTTGAGGAGCTGGCTAATACTGCAGCGAAGTTACGCATCACCTTGTGCGCAAAACGCCGTCTCCCCTGATGCGAGCTTGGCAACATGAACTAAGTTAACGCTTCCAGCGTTCGATTGCAACATCGTCTTTGGCGGCGGCTGCGTGGCGTTGTTGGCACTATCTTTGCACCCACCCTGAGGTGTTACGCTATGCGAGGCAATCGTGTTTTGGGCAGGCACTATCACCTTTTACACACCGCGCGCGCTTCACTCCTCCACCATCTGTGCACCCTTCCTCGTCTACACACCGCGTTCGACATCTACAATTCTCCTGATTCTCCAGTGGACGCGGATGTGGCGTCGCGCTTCGAGAACATTCAACAGCTGACAGTGCATGCGCCGTCGTGCTGTATATATACTCAAGGTCGGCGCTCGCTCGCTCAGTTGCCGCTCGTCGGTTGGTTTGTACGGTGCGTCGACGTCCAAGGTCGCGGTGAAATGAATTCCAACAAATCCACAAACACAATGATCGACGTCCCTTCGACCAGTGCCGCCCTTTCGCATACGTGTGTACGTGTTCACTCATTTAACACCCCCTCCTACAACCACGTTAACCAATTTAGCCATCGACCCAAGTAAGTCGCAATTTAACACCCCATTTCACAACCACGTTAACCAATTTAGCCATCGACCCAAGTAAGTCGCACTTTAACACCCCGTTAACCAATTATATGGTCCGCATCCTCCTCATTACGACGGCAAAGACACCACCTGCTCAGCTACTTCAGCGTGATCAATCTCTTTTTCTGGCGCAATTTGAAGAGATGTCATGTTTGACCATTGCATACAAACTGTGATATAATACCGCCTATGCGCAAAGGTTTGACTTGGGTTACTGAACAAGCAGCTGATTCTCTGCGCGTCCCTCCATCAGTCGAAGAGGTAGAGGCAACACTACAATTTATGAAAGGGGGACAGCTCCTGGAACGGACGGTTTTCCAGTTGAATTTTACTTATCATTTTGGAATGAGCTTGATACTGCATTAACCGCGGTTATCCGGCGAGGTTTCGTGATGGCGTCTTTCCATCAAGTTTTCGAGATGGACGCATTGTACTTATTCCAAAAAGTAATGCTTCCTCTGTTAATCCTTAAGATTCAAGTCCTATCACGCTTCTTAACCTTGGCTATAAGATATTCGCGGCGATCGTTCAACGTTTGAGGGCTCTGTTGAACACCCTGTTGGGTCAGCACCATGCTTCATCTATGCCTGGACGAGAAATACACAGCTTGTCCTTTACCACCCAGGATATCATAGCCTAAACTATGTCGCGTTCTGCGCGTGGTCTGTGTCTTTGGAGCAAGAGAAACCATTTGAACGACTAGAGCACACATATATCTTTAAAGTGCTCACAGCTTTTGGTTTTCCTATGTACTTTTGTAGAAGTAATTAGACATACCTACTCTGGTACAAAAAGCAAAAAAGTTCTAAATGGTTGGGAGAGTGCTGCCTTTCCTATTACACGTGGGGTCTGTCAGGGATGCCCATTGTCTCCTGTTATATTTGTCGTCAGCCTTGAGCCAGTTTTGTGTGCTCTACAAGTGGATTCGCATGTCCGGGGTCTTGCAGTTCCGGACAGCAGTAACGTGAAAGTCACAGCTTCTGCTGACGACATAACCCTGTACCTTTCAGATGAAGATAGTCTTTCGCATAGCCTGCGTTTATTCTTTCAGTATGATGATACTTCAGGTGCCGCGCTAAACCTCTATGAATCCCGGTATTTGTTCATCGGCTATCCAAACTCCAGACTTAGCTCCACTTCTCTTGTTCAGCAGGCTGCGTCTCTTCGCATTTCAGGAATTCTATACAACTTCGGCGTTTGTAACTCCGTTTGGTCAAACGCCCTCGATGAAGTAAAACAATAAACTGCGAATGCCCTGGATTTCAACTTTCCGCTTCTTGAGCGGAGGTACTTTGCGGAGACTGTTTTGCGGTCGCATTTGGTACCTTTCTCACATGGACCAGCCGCCTTTACGCATCGTGATGTCATTGCAGTCGGCCTTGCGTTCTTTCTTTTGGTCCGGTGGAACTGAGTTGGTTCTCGTGCGGTGTTAGGACAGCAGCGTTCCCAGGGAGGTTTTGCTTTCTCTTCGGTATCAATACGTTTTCGGCTATTGCCTTGCGCTTCCTGTTGCGCCTCGTACAAGGAGGGCAATTTCCCGCACGAACTCTGACATAATAATTTCTAGGCACTCACCTTCGATAATAAATGCGAAGAATTTTTTAGCGAACTTCGGTGACTGTGAGCTTTATCTATCTATCTATCTATCTATCTATCTATCTATCTATCTATCTATCTATCTATCTATCTATCTATCTATCTATCTATCTATCTATCTATCTATCTATCTATCTATCTATCTATCTATCTATCTATCTATCTATCTATCTATCTATCTATCTATCTATCTATTTATCTATCTATCTATCTATCTATCTATCTATCTATCTATCTATCTATCTATCTATCTATCTATCTGTCTAGCCGCTTACGTTTGGGTGCTCTCGTGGGTGCTCTCGTGGGTGCTTAACTTGGCGTGAACCAAAATTAGCATGGAAGGGTAAGATTATTGACAACCACCATGGTCTAGTCAAGACATGAATAATGTCACAATCTCATCGTGTACGTCGTCAAACACTTTCCGTCAGACAGAGGCACATACCCATGGGCTGGTATCTGCCGCTGCCATGCGGGTATGTGCCACAAGGGATTGGAACTTAGTATGTTTGCCCAAGGACGACGAGAACAGACAAGGCCAATTTTAACGCGCGAGTGTTAACAAATACCCGACAACCATAGGGTCGACCCGACAAATGAAAAGAATAAGGCAGGGTCCCAGCTGAAATCGGACCCAAGTATTCTGCGTGCAAGTGAAGCATCTTACCACAGAGCTACGCCAGGTCTCAGAACTACTTTTCAAATAAAAGCCAATCTTTATGAATCGTCAATAGTGGTTACGGTGCTGCCTACCCAATTTTATAAATATTACATGATTACTCGTGTGATACAGCTGTCACATCGGGTTAACATCAATTGCGGTTAGTTGCCATACGCTGAAGTTGATTTAATTGTCAGTGTCGAAGGCCAGCATCCTCGCGCACATTGGCGCCTCATATCAGCTTTTGGTATTGCTAATAACATGTTCAATGTTTTCATCGTTGCGCAAGTGCAAGCAACTGGTTATATAAACATCACCAACTCTTCAACATATGTCTGTGCATTCAACATTTGTACATATATTCAGCGCCATTTCATGACGTGTCGCTCAATAAAAAAATTGTAACACGGTCACCTTCCCTCCACATGCTTCGCATAACGTCAATTCCCAGGTACGTGGGAACTGCTGAATTTTTTAAATTTGTTGCTTTTCCTGAAACAATGCACAATAAGTGCTCAACTACCTCTGTAAAGACACGCTTCTTATTCGCGTTATACCTCATTTCTGTATATAGGCATAAGACGTGTTTTGTCATGCCTAATGTGCATCTTAATCGGGGCCCACAATCAGTAATACTTCCTCTGTTTTATGCAACAGCTGTCGTGTTGTTTCGTCATATTCAGTCGACTTGCCCTGAGGTAGATGTGTTAGACAATCCCATTGACACAACAGTCGCTTTGTTGCTCCTATTAGTTCCTCCGGCACGCCACACCCACTCTAGTCCTGTGTCTTGGAGCACGCTGACGGCATCATTTCTACCTGGCCACCACCGGGATTTCATGTGGCGGCAAGGGTGGGGCGTTATTGCTACCCTTGGCCACCTCAGAAGTGGAAAATGGTCCAGTCATCAACATGTCTCAACTGCTCCCTACGGGCAACAAATCATCATGTTTTAAGACAATGCGTCACTGCTCGTTTTTTCTGGATGGCTGTGCATGCAGGATTTCGTGGCCTCGGAGTAAGCCGATTGTTTCTTCACTACGTTGTTCTCGTGGCCACTTCGCCTGCCTTCTCATTGTTGCTGGTCTCTACTGTTTTCGGCATAATCGCTGTGAGGTTGTTGCAGCAGGTCGTCGCCGCCGTGCTCTCTCCCTTATTTTGGAGCAACTGTACAGAGAAAAACTACCTGTTTTGTCGGAGGAACTCTTGTTTCTGGGTGAGGAGGAATTCTTTCGACAGTGATCCTGCCATTTTGTGTTTGTCTGCGAGAGATGTGTAAAGCTTGTGTTCAGGCCTGCCTGGTTTCTGTTGGTTAATTTTTCTTTAGTACTCGCACAAATACCTTGTAAATACAATGTAAATACCTATAATATTGATCTTTACATTACATTTGTGTGTTGTTCGTTTACGATGTATTGGGCGTCTGTAGACATGTTTTGTGAAATTCTTGTGTGTCTGTGTATGTTGTGTTCCGTGTTATATGTACACATATCTTTCTGTAACAACTTTTGGTGTGTCTACTGATGTTGTGTTCTGTTGCGATGTTCTGTTGGATTGTAATTGATGTTCACTCTCCGTGAGAATAAATTTCTCTAAACATACATGGTGTTCTGTAAGAAAGTAGTGCTGTAGTGATGGTAGTGGTAGTGGAAAGTAGTGGTGGTAATTCTATTCATAGATGTAATTTATTTTCAGACGACGACATCCTGAAAGAGTCAATGTATGGTTCAACTCTACAATGCTTTATGGCGGTACTTTAGTGCCAGCAGATATTGTGACGGTGCATCAAACATTTGAAAAGCAGTTAGATATTGTATATGACATCGGACTCCTAAAGGCAAGATTTTTTATTTTATTCTGAAGAAAACTTCATTTTCTATTGCATAAATTCGATGTCTTAATCAACATCATTACTCCTTAAAAATGTTCATAAAACGATAGCGTTTGTTGAGGTTATAGCACGACGACATCACTAACCTTGTCAACTCCGTTCATGAGATGGAATCCGTTAAGTGTCGGTGTGATTGATCAGGGTCACACTGCCGTGTATGCCTATGAGAGTGTGACCAATAAAAAAAACTCTATATGCTAGTCAGTCGGGAGAACATTGAATTTCCGTGTTTTGATTTGTTGGCAGCTACCTAATAACCGTGTATCATAACAAAATATGTCCTACAAATAAACATTCGTCCAGTCACCTGCATTAGGGTGTAAGTGTTTCATAATGGCGCCATTCTTTTCTACCTACTTTCTATTTCATACATCAGGTGCAACACTCGAGAATCTATGCAAAAATTTACGTCAGTAATATGTCCCAAGGCTCTGCGTTTTCCCTCTTGTATTTGAAAGTTCTAAGCTTCACCTCCATGATCGGCTCCTGCTGCGTCCTATCGGAACCAATGACTGAGACTATGACACAAAAACAAAGAGACTGTAAGCAATCCAGAACGACCGAATGACGACCGAGTAAATCACGGGTTCTCTTTCTCTGTAAGAAAGAAGTCATTCTCATGAATCACGCTCTCCTAAAAGATTGGAGATATCACTATGCGGGTGGTGAAATCATTGAACTTTCTCTTGGTGGGAGCACAACTACAGGAAAGAGTCTCGCTAACTTCAACAGTGTTGCACCTATAGTAAACGCATCGCAGTTCAAGTGGGGCTCACCAAAAAGATATGATAGTATCCGACTAATACCTCACCCAGGAGGACGCCATGTACATATATCGATGTACGTTAAGGGACCTCAATTGTGGGGAAGGATCCAGGAAAAATTCTTCGCTTTGATTATGGAGCATTTATTAGTCGCGTGATGTCGCACTTCGACGTGAGCATGATGCCGCCCACAGCCTCCATGCGCATGCTCCCGTCTCGTGCCGGCCCGAAAAGACACTTGCAAAACTGTCGCTCCAAGAGCCATTGAAGTGTGATACACCATCGGGCGTTCAGCGATCCGAGCATGCGCAGTGGCGGTGTGGACATCTCCCCCGTACTCCTCGTCCTCGAATGCGGTTGGTGTGTGCGAAAGTGGTAGAGCCGCGTTCAGAATTCATTCAAACGCGTCTTTACTTGGCCCTCACTTGAATTGACTCTTTGCTCGACTCGAGTAGATACGATGGAAGCAACAACACCTTGAGCCAACAAGGGGGCATATCCCTTCATCAGCGTCACACCCTTCGTTGAAGGCAACGCTTCTCTTTCTTTCAATAAATAAGAATTAACAAGAAGAAATAATAATTAGGCCTCCCCAACCATACCCAAGTTCGCTACACTCACGCGATGCCCCCTCCTCCTCCACTCTGCGACGCGTTTACTCAAGTTTTCCCGTGTGAAGAGGCGGGGAGTAGTTTGTTAATGAGCCTTCACCAAATAGCGCTGTGTGATATTTTTGTATCACCTTAGCTTTGCATTTTGTGAACGCATACGTTCCTATTATTAGGGTAACGAAGAAAACAGAACAACACGATCCACATTCTTCGGAACAAGCGGAATTCGTGCGAGTGCATTGCTTGTGAATTTTAACGTGGCTAGTCATTAAATGCTGTTCTCATATGTGTTACCACAACCGCAAAGCCTCTCGTGTGTGGTCAGCGACGAATTACAGCTTGCCTGCTTCAGCACATTTGATACGGTACACGGTGTCAAGTATCCAAGTGTTCCACATCTGTAGTGGCCTAATAAACGCTATAGTTGGTGCGGCAATGAACAGTTGTAGCATAATGCAACAAGATACGATGCAGGGAAGTGTGCCGCACGTTTATCTATGTTATATGGTTCAAACTGTGTATTTTTAATAGAGATCTTTTGTGCTATTATTGACATGTTTTAGCATGAATCAGGGTTGCAGGTTGAGCGAGAGTAAATGGGGCTCAGCTGCTCATTGTTTATTTTCGCTTATTGTTACCTATTACTTAGCGTAATATTTTTCTCTCAGCTCACAGATGATTTTAAGTTCGACAGAATGCTAAAGCCAGTGTGCCTACCTGAAGGGAAAATGGACATTGGAGGAAAGTCTCTCCTATCGGCTGGATGGGGAAAGACAGGATGTAAGTAATACGCTTACCACATCGCTATCTTGTAGCCATCTTTTATTCTTTGTTGATTTTAGGGAATATTCCAAGTCCACAGCGTTTGAACTTATGCAAAAGCGAACTAGCTTTTTTGGCACGGAATTCAGTAGTCAGTTCCTCGAACCAATTGCTAGTTGTTGAACAAAAAAAGCTGACTTTCTTTTGCAACATAATTTTTTTTCGGGAAGCAATCAAATGAATTCAAGCACAGCCAATCGGTAGACCTGCTTTCAGTTTGAATAAGTACTACAGATCCAGCATGTGTAGTGATACGTTACAACATGAAAGAAAGGAGTGGCAATTTAAGGACCTGCCTCTTTTTTTATACACAGCCTTGGCGATAACTAACAGATCATGGCAAGGACAATTTGGGGATGTCATTAGTAGTAAATGTATTGTAACTGTGAAGCAAGACAAAATACCACTTGCGTCAGTGGAGAAAAAACCTGCAACCTTCCAATAACCCGTGCGATGGTAAACTAACTGGACTTTAGCATGTCTGATATTCAGTCATCATTTGTAGGTCCACTAACGTTTTGCCAGTGGTATTTGTATGAAGCAAGCAGCACAAGTGTGCTGTGTGTGTGTGCGTGCATATGCGTGTGTGGGTGTGTACCACTTCATTTGGACGCGATTTAAAACACTCATATAACTAAAGTGTTACTAAACTACTCGGTGCCCTGATAAACGCCTATTCGGTTTTTTTTTTGCACAGCGGTAAACGAGAACAAAAATCTGCTGTACGCCCAAGTTAATGGTCTGAAGGATGAAGACTGCCAGACATTTTGAAGTCGGAGACGAGTTCGTATACAAATCGTCCTATTGGACCGGCTCCTATGATTTGCGCGATAGGATCACCGCAAGTGTCTGTGATGTGAGTGCATAGTTACAATATGATGCGCGTTTTGGTATCTCCAGTTTTCGCATAACATATATAGTACAAGTTCAAAAGCACCTGCATAGTATGCCATTAGCCAGTGATTATAGCACCCTATTTCCTATTTTCTTTGTCTAATGCAACGGCCATTGGCGTGAATACGCCATGCGATTGGGCTTTCATTGAAATGGCCTAGAGTAGTTTCGAATACCTACTTATTCCTGCACATGTAGCGTATGGCAGATGACTGTAGGGGAGCTTTTGCGAGGAGTCTAGAGCATGTAAGATTGATGTAGAAGGAGTAACTCTAAACAATTCTACAACTCTACTTTTGGTGTAATGCGTACCCTGCAACAACCAGTTGTATGGGAGAAATGATAAGAATATTGCATATGTATTATATTCTTTCATTCCAAACATTACATTTTTAATTGAGGGCGCCTCAACTATAGTCTCAGTCAAGCTATTCGTTGCGGCAGAAATTTGGCGAGTAATTTTTATCCGTGATGATAAAAACTATGAGCTCCAGCATCAACTTCAAGATTCAAAACATGATGGCATGACCAAGCCACAATGTCTTGGTATTCTTGATATCTCACCAGTGTTTTCTTTAGAGTCCTCATTTCAACTGAGAAGCAAGAAAGGAGCATGCCTGCATGCGTGACATTGACCCTTGACAACTATGCTAGAGCTCTTGCGCAAGAAGTGTGGCAGCTTGGGCTAGTTGGTTTTGGCATCACGATAGTTATGCCAAACCAACAAAACGACGACACACAGACTTCTTGTCTCTTTGTCGTCGTTTTGTTCTCGCGCTATAACTATCGTCTTGCGCAAGGCTACAGACGCAGCATCGCACCTTCTTGTGTTGCGGCTATCATTGTGATTCATTTTCCTGAATCGCTTTGTAACGTGTTATTTGGCGGAAGTCTGGAAAATTAACATGATGACAAGAAAGAAAGAAAGACAGATGAGGCGCCATATCTGGCGCTCAAAAATAGCTATTGTTTTCCCCTGTTGATATTCCAAGTGGTGCGCCCCAAATAACATGTCAGGATAACTTAATCACTGACTCGCATAGTTGAAACTTCGCCGCGTTGTAACAGCTGCAAATTCAAATAAACCCCACATTGGGCGATTCGTGTGGAGTAAAGCCTGAAGTTTTATTCTTGGGCCACGCACTATTTCACATACTTGCAGGACTCAGGACCATACATGATGCTTCTCTGTTTTTTTTTCGCGCAGCCGTTCTAAATATTTTTGTGGTTGCATGGTAAAACAACCTGTAGGCCACGTAACAAGGCTTGGAATCGAAGTCCACTTAGTGGAGATGGTTTTAACAAGACATCTTTTAGAAGATCGTTTCCCCGAGTTCTAGGTCACAGTTAACGTGTTTGGCTGCTAGAGGAGAAAGTCAGCTTTAAGGAATTGTGCTTGAGCAATATTTTTGCACATTCGCAAAAAATGAGTTAAGAAAGTCACAGCTTCACCGCAAGGGTGAAGTAATGAATGCGATTGCAACAATTAACATGTTCAACAAATTAGGGTGGGCTAAGTTCTTTGGATCCAACCACGTGTATTTATGCAAAATGCCGGTATTGGCCGAGAAGGCCTCCACTAGAAAGGGGGCGCTGCGATGGTTTTGACGTCACAGATAGGATAGCAGTTGTGGAATATGGCAGCTTTGCTTTCGCGACACCATTTGAATTGTCTCCTATAGCTTCACTGGTTCTTAGTAGCAATTTTACGATGCAAACTAGACACGAGAGTGCCGCCGGGGGAAGTATTCGTATTTTGCTGCCGCATCATAAAATCTTATCGCTTATTTAAGGACTGAGCTTCAAAACAAAGGGAAGAACGCACGGTGTCCACCACAAAAGCGCAGAAATACAG